AAGTTGTGTGAATTTTTCAATAAATTCTTTTGTCAAAACCACTTGCAATCTGATTCATAGCTGAGCGCCTTGCCGCCGGTTACAATATTTTAATATTCAAAAATTTTTTTTGATTCCTTAGAGAATACAGGAACAATAGTCATAACTAGACGCCCTTCGTGGTGTGAACTCGGGCTATCGTAGTGTATTTGAGGAATTATAAGCACTTGGAGACCGGTACCGAGCCAAGTTTTTTGGTGTGTGGTTTGCATAATGATAGGAAACGGCAACTTCTCAAAGGAATACCATTGGTATTATTGACATTCAAATTTGTAATATTACTGTTGTTTCTTTGCTGATTATCATCTGCAGTTTTGCCAATCACTTCACTCTGTTCAATGTGGGTGGTTTGTGCATTAAAAGGATTTTCAGTAGCATTGCTTTGTATGCATGTCTCAGTAATATACACTCCTCTGAGTTCAAATAAAACTGTTGAATTGTCATATAAACTTTGGAAGTAATTTATTAAAGTCATCAACATCAAGGAGTACTTGCAAGTACCTTGAGGATGGGGGAGAACTGATGGRTTACGAACATGAGAGTCAAATATCCTAAATCTCCCATCGCCATTACAACGAGCTACTGTATTACATTAAATAGTTAACAGGAATGACTGGTAATTTTCTCTAATTAAAATTTGCAAAGCATTACCTAAGGGCATGCACTAAAGAAAAGGAAATCGACAGTAGATGAAATATCATGTATAGTTACCATGACCGCATATTTTATAGTTACGACCGTATTTTTCTGCTTTTGTGCAAAACTGAAGGTGAGCTGTTTGACTGTAACTCTACTTGGTTCTCAATCACGCGAAACAACACGTAGTCTCCCTCGCATCCGTTTTTAGTGTCGGTCGTCACGCAACGAATGCGAGGGAGACTAAACAACACGAGGCTTGTGCTCAACATACTGATGAATAAGGAATTTTAAGCATAACGAGACCTGCATTCCAATGACTCTTTATTGGGATGAACAAATACAGATAATTGTGCAACTTTTTCGAATATATCGCAGTTATGCTGTAAAGAGTTTGCCAAAGTCTTTGTTGACACATTTATGAAATGTTGTACAACCAAAACAAGGCAACGATCAACACACTCGTGATGATAGCTGAACAAACGATAAACTGCTGAAGAAACTGTTCAAAATTGCAAACAAAAAAATAAACAAAAAACTTATCCTCACTGTTATTGATGTAAGTCCAAGACTTCTAGATTATATTCTTCTGGAAACGCATTTGTTATCTAGAGAGATTCCAATATGCCAGGAAATATGGCGTCCATGTTGTTATAGAAAACCGAAACCTAGACTCGGGCTTACCACAGGTAGCCCTAGTATTTAAAGAACAAAAGCAATGTGAAAAGGATTATGGTCTAGAGACAGGGGTAAAACGTCATCTCGCTTCAGGCTTATTTGACGCTGAATATATGTCCAAACGGGCGGGCATAATATCTAAATATAGCTAAATATAGCGGCCCTTATCTAATTTGCATGAATTAGCGTATTGTAAAATTTTACGCCTGTGGATCGTGCTTAGGCTGCGTTCATTATGTATACCGCAGGGGGAGGGGGGAGG